CCGAAGGCTTGTCTTTTTAGTTTCTTAATCCACAGCATTCCCTTTACACACATAGTTAAGCTAAGTTGTCACTTCTGTCAGTAAGACACATTAAGAAAAATATGAGTTGTGTGTTAAACAGCATGTGCTTCTACACAGTATCCTTCTGCATTGTCTTAAATAAGGATACCTACATCTTCTCTTCCTTCCCCCCCCCCCATCTACACAGCTAAAATTGTGTGCAGAAGAACTACTGTTGCATATTAAGTTAAGCCTAAGGGCAGGGTGCAGGACCTGGTGTCTGGAACAGCCACATCAGTTTACAAGACCTGAAGATCCCTCACTGAAGTTGATGGGAGTTTTTCAATTGACTGCTTTGATAGCTGGAGGTGACACTTAATAAATGAGGAAGAGTAAAATGCTCTTACCCAGACATGTTCTAGATGCAGACACTGTCTACCATTCTTACTTGCACTTGTATGTGGAAAGGATTAAAACACCAGGTATGAAAAGCATTACCCTCTAACAACAAGAAAAGTCAAAATAACATATTGTATTTGACTCAGCAGTATTTTTTTATATTTTTTTAATTGCCATTCATACAAAACATATTACTTAAACAGCAGTATGTTACATCTTTTTAGGTTTTCTATAGAACAGAAAATAGTGTGATGGTGATGCTCAACCTAAACATCTCTCAGTGCAAGTCCAAACTGGATTTGTGCATCTAAGTACTGTAAGAATAGAAAAAAATTCATAGTAAGAAATAATTTTTATATGTAAATGTGCAGCTGAAAAGTAGCCTCTAAAAAGTGCTAATTAAACTTGTGCTGTTGAATAGGTAACTGCTTCTGTTTTCAAATTGAATACCTTCCTACAAGGGAAATTCTTAAAGTTTTACAAAGAGTCTTTTTTTAGCTACATCAGCTACTGGCTAGAAGAGCATTGTACTGACAGTATTTATGAAAGCTCAGATACAATTGTCTTCACCTGATTCCCAACCAAGGCTAAACCAGAGCAGTTTGCTTTCCCACCCAACGACCCCTCCCCAGCCAAGAAGGGGAATCAGGAAGAGGAGAGAAGCCCCTTGGGTTGAAATATAAACAGATTTAATGAAATAAGAAAGCTAATACAAACACCAACATAAAGTATATAAACTTATACTCAGCCTGTTTCGCAGGTGTAGCAGAGGGAGCAGCAGGCCAAGAGGGAGGAGCCCCAAAAAACAGAACTGACCCCCTTCATCACACATCCTCCTTTATAATGAGCATGACACCTGCTAGTCAGCTTGGGTCAGCTGCCTTGACTGGCTGGCTTATGATTCTGTCTCAGCCAGGATAGCAATCTAAATAAAAACTTGAATACAGATAGAAAACATGAAAATCACAGACTCCTTGCCCATATTTTGATCTTGCCAAGTAGAAATTAAAATGTTTGCACCAAGTGGAATTAAAGTGTGGGAGGACCCAAACCTAGCAATATGATTGGCTGTTCAGCTTTTTATAGGTGTTTGGAAAATGGTAAATTTGAGAGAGTGGAGAAACCAAGAGGTATTTAAAGCCTAGAAGCATGGAAGAAAAGCCGTGTAAATCAATTGAATGTTGGGAGACTGTAATGGACATGGTATAGTATAAACATATGTACCTTTGTTGGAGAGCTGCTGCTGAGAGGCACAATCGAAGAGGTGGTGGCGAGGAGGAACATGGGGTTTCTTGCATGAAGAAATGGCAGCCAGGCAGCAGCTGTGGAGGACATCCCTTTGGTCTAACTTCAGTTGACACTTTGTACCTCAGGTAGCTGAACAAATCAGTAGCCTTTACCTTCTGCAAAGCTGCGAGTGGCAATGTGGAGTGTCTAGTTCTACCTAATCTATTAATTCAGGTTGTTGGATTATGTGAGTGAGATAATATGGCTATTTCCTCAAAATATATTACTTGATTATATATATCATATATATATCATATATATCATTAAATATAAAGCCCATTATTGATTATGTGTGTATTAAATATATTAAATGAGACACCAAGCTTCGTTGAAAATTAGTTGACTTTCCCTGCTAGCATTTACTTCAGAGTAGTAAGGCATTTTGGCTCAGCTTCATTCATGAAGTTACAAAGCTCTCTTGGCAACTTTTTAAAAGGATTGAATACCAGCTAACAGAGAGGTCTCAGAATGTAAGTGTGCACAGGGAAGTTTGATCAAGTGAGGGCATTTTCAGTAGCTTCTCCCTGGACTGGCTTCTTGTCCATTCGTTATTTACCTCCTTGTGTTGTGGTCTGTGTGCTCTTGGAGAAGTGAGAGGAGGGGGAGAAGAGGTGGCTGATCTGGTGGATCTTTGATGTTCTTCAAAGATGGAGTGTATGGCTTCCTCCCCCACCTTCCAGCCTGAAAGCAAGCTACTGGGTGAAGGTTCTCAGCTCTTCTACTGTCTTGCCCATGATGGCACAACTGTATCAGTATGTTTAATGAAAAAATTATCCTCTTAGTCATTTATTCCAGAGTCCTTTGAAAAGTGGAAATTTGTAATACTATAAAATACCACTGCTGTTTACAACTGTGAGCTATAGTAGATCAAGCTATCAGTTTTCTACCACAAGTCTTTAGTCCTGCTGCCAATGACAACCTTATATAGGCCTATAAATCTTCTAGGAGTATAATAAAGGTGAACTGCATTTCACTGTAATGGGTTATGTCTTACATGAAGACAAGAGCTAGGAATTCCATATGTAATAGCCAATGCTTCCCAATATTAATGTCAAAACAGAGGATGCACTGTGGGCTGCAGTCATCATTCAGATGTATTGCAGTTTTCTATCCCTGGGTACTCTGATTTTATCATCGCAGTGCTGCTCTAGTTCAAGACTTTGTGGTATTCATTTTATAAGCCTTATTCTGAGGTGCTGACGGCTCTTCTGGAGAAAGAAATTCCCTTAACTCTTAACATATTGCTTCATGTTTTTATTTTTCTTTTTAAACGTTAGAAATGCCTCAGCCAAAATATGTCTGAATTTGAGACCAAAAATGCTAGTAGGTACCTATTGACATTCACAAAAGAACATATTTTCTATTGAGGTCTATAGCTTTAGGAACTTAAATACCTTTAAAAAATGTTTTTAATTATTTTGGGCACTTTAGAAAATTTTACCCTAGAGCCTGATTTTTTCCACATCAGTTTCTGGTACTGAACTGAATAGATAAATGCATTGGTGTTATGTCATGGATTTTATTTCAGAACTGCGTAGCTGTTTCTAAATATGAATTATTTAAAACTAAATAAATATTACCAATGTGCATGGGTTTTATTAAGCATGGAGCTGTTACTATTAGTGAGCTTAAACACACCAAAATAATATTTATTGTTTTGCAAAGTTGTGAAAATGTTTCATAAAAGTGCTCACTGCCTCTGATATTCATGGTTGTGCAACAGCACCCCATTACTAAATAATATTATTTCAGTGGAACTTTGCAGGGTGTTTTTTAATCGTAATCATCAAAGTCACTGCAATTGTTTCTTTTCCAGTGTTAGGTGTACCATTTTTGTTTCAGACTGGACACATAAAACTAAACACATTTCTCTCTGCTGCCATATGATTCAGGAAATTTTAGCTTGGATTTGTCACATAACCTTTTGTATAACTTACACTTAAATGCAACTGGGTCTTCAGTTTCTGCCTGTTCTAGTAAGGAAATCTCCTGCTATATAAAAACCACAAACTTCTAATGATACACATTGGGAATTCTCACATTGAGAGTACACAGGCTTTCCAAATGCTGATCTGTATCATGGAATTCCACAGGTCAGAGTGCCAGCTGCTTGGAGGGCACTGATACGTTGTGTTGCTCACAGAAACATTCTGCAGCAGGAAAGGCACACTAAGAAACCCTGTTACATCTTACCTTTCTTGAAAACCAGACAGCACTGCTGAGCAGCCACATTTATGCTCTTGTTCAATTTTGTTTGCTCTGCTCCATGCACTGAAGCTGGTGTGTCTTAGATGGTTGTTACTTTTGCTGTTAATATTAGTAGAGATTTCTAAAAGTTAGTTCAAAGGAAGTTCATCAGGTGAAAAAGGTAAGAAAAGGGACTGAATTGAAGCTGATCCTCAGCCTCTGAAAAGACTCATATTTCAGACTGCAAAACTCTATAAACTGTACCAGCTGGCATGGGTCCCAAAAGGTGCATTAGATGGTGTTGACAAAAGGTAGTTCAGAGCCAACAAAATCCTGTCCAGGCATTGAGTGCATAGCGTTGACGTGTCTCAAGAGACAGGCTTGCATAAGTTTTCGTAGTCTGGCTCGTTGGAACACATTAAGTTGCTTCTGGATTAGGCTGTCTTTGCAGGCTACAGAGAATGGAAAAAAGATATTGGAATCATTAGCTCATCTGAAGTGCATCTATACCAATGCAAGCAGTATGAGCAACAAACAGGAGCTTGAAGCCATGATACACCAGGAAAACTGTGACATAGGGGCTATCACAGAAATGTGGTGGGATGCATCACACAACTGGAGTGCCACAGTCAATGGCTACAACAAATCTGAATGCTAAAATTTACATGTTGAATCCTGTGACCCTTAATTGGGATGCCCAGTATTTAAGTGGATTATTGTTTTTTTTTAATTGAAAAATGTTCTGTCTGCTTCAAAAACTTTATAAACTAACCCCCATAATAGTTTGCAGATCAAACTGGTCTCTGTCAAGGACAGTATAACTTTAATCATATGCAGGCTTAATTCTGATCCTACTGAGGGACCAGACTTGCCACTTTATTCAGAGCCAGGCAGAATTGGCTTCTATCCTTAAAACCCAGAAACATCCACTGCAGCACTGGAGTCTCTTGTGGGCAAAATGATTTGGCTTGCACTTTAAGTTTATTGTACTGTTTGGCAAAACCTGTGTAATTCTATTCATATCAGGTGTCAGAGTAGAATTCATGCTGAAAAGAAACAAAATAAATCACACAGCAATAAAATATAAAGATCATAAAATAACCTCTTTTGTTTTTTACTTTTTTCAGAATATTGCAACACTTTAACACTACTGCTGAAGATTACACCGTCATTTTCACATCTGGATGCACAGCTGCACTTAAACTAGTAGCAGAAGCATTCCCTTGGATACCTGAAGGCACAAAGCAACCCAGCAGTCGATTCTGTTACCTAACTGACAGCCATACATCTGTGGTGGGCATGAGGGGGATAACTGCCTCAATGAATGTCTTATCTATTCCAATAAAACCAAAAGAAATCTTGTTATCAGAAGAAAACAGGTTATCAGCTGAAGAACAAAACTGTACAACACCTCATCTGTTCTCTTATCCAGCTCAGAGCAATTTTTCTGGTACCAAGTATCCCCTTTCATGGATACAGGACATAAAATCTGGAAAACTTTGTCCCGTCAAAATACCAGGGAAGTGGTTTGTTCTACTAGATGCAGCTTCGTATGTGAGCAGTTCTCCATTAGACTTGGGAGTTCACCAAGCTGACTTCATCTCCATCTCATTCTATAAAATCTTTGGATTCCCAACTGGTTTAGGAGCACTACTGGTAAACAACCGGATTGCCCCCTTCTTGAGGAAAACCTATTTTGGAGGTGGAACTGCAGCTGCCTACCTTGCAGAAGAGAATTTTTATTTCCCAAAGAAATCTATAGCAGAAAGGTAAGGCTTTGTTTAACAAAAGAGGGGGTTTTGCTGATACTGTTGGCGTCAGACAAATGTCTTAGGGTTGGTGCATGCAGTGGGCTGTGACACTCGTCCTTGTTTATGCAGTTGGATAGGTATTTCATGTCTTAACTCTTTTCTTCTTAGTATTCTTTTTTTTTTTTTCCTTATCTAAAGAACATATTCTTAAATATTTGATCTAGTTTGTCACAACTAGTAAAATTATAAGGTTTCATTCAGTGACATAAAGGTCGGTCCATGCATTTTAAATTTATATTTAAGGTACTTCAGTGAAACCCTGATTTCATTTTTGAAGCTCAGCACCTGGAGTAACCAGGACAAGGCTGATCCCACAGCACAATGACCCACAGATAAATTGGAAAGGATGGTCCATGTACTTCACTGGAAAGGTGGCATGCTTTACTCTCAATAGAAGCTTTATCAGAATAACACATTCAGTAAGATAAGTTACTTAGGACAAATATTTGTAGTGCTCTTATTCCCTGAGTGAGGTTCTGGAGAAGCTGTGAATCTCTCCTACAGAAAATAGAGAACACCTAAGAGGACAAACATTCACGCATAAGGAAATGCTGGGCAAGGGATAAGCTTCCCTAGTCCCTTAGCACACCGAAATACCACTCTTAGCAATGCTTGTTCTCTCTGCCTGTGCCAGCAACATCTTACATAAATGCAGTAAATACCTGTCTTGCATCCAGTACATCTACACAAAGTAAATACTTGTCAACAGCATTTAATATTAAATTATAGTCATTGGGAGAGGCTAGAGGTGCAAAGAGTAAATTATTTTTTAAAAGCCATTCATGCCTTTCATTAGGCTACAGATGTGTAATTAGCAGCACAAAGTCCTGCACCTCCCATGATGTAAATTCTGAGCTTTCACTGTACATGTAGCAATGTGTAACAATGCTTCATATGAGTGCACCTCTTTTAGGTGTGTGCTCTGAGTGTTGCTGTGGCATGTTGGTTCTAGGTTGTTAAATGCAGAGGCTGGCTGCATTAGCCTGGCTCCTTTGCTGTATGAGGCCATGCATTATTTCTGAACGGAAAATTAGTACAGTGAACATCCAAGTAATCTTCTAATTTAGAAATGAAAATAACAGGGAAACATTGGTGTTCTGACCTCTGCTACTGTTTTATTCAAACCAGAAAGGCTTTGAAGTGCAGCACTCGCTGGAAGTCAGGATGAAAGAGTATAAAAATAATGGGATCCTAGGGTGCTCCTGCATCACCTGCAAGGCAAGGAGAAATCTTGTTTTAATTTGACCTGGGCAGGCTCTAATTTCTGAGTAGCTTTTCTAGAGGTAATTGACATGACTCCTGAGATTGCATAGCAGATAAAAATATCAGAAACGCATTTTAGATCTCAGTTCTGCTTTTATATGTTTTTTAATTAAAAGGAGAAAGTTATGTGGGGGCCTTGAGGGGAGTTCTATCTCTGGTATCTCTTTCAGGAGTTTTCAGAGGTTGACTAATTATGAGCCTTTCAGGTACTGGAGGCTGCCACTGCTTTCAAGGGCTTTTTTTACTGGATCAGAAAGGCCTGCTTTAACCTTTTTCTACTGCAGAGTAATAAACAAAGGAATTTATCCAATCTAATTTTTCAGACAGGCTGGCTACAGAGTGTCTAATCTTAGTATCAGGGAAACTAACTCAAATAATCAAATCTGACAGCTGGATACCCAGGCATGTGATACTACTTTCTGTAAGACCCCAAAGTGTCACGCAGACAGTCCGAGTCATTGTAAATAGGTAAATACTTACATATGTCCTCATCTAATCCTTTATTTATTATTTGAAAACCTAATATTTAAAAATACAGGTTTAGCTAGAGCAGTTAGGAACACAACTGCTACACTTTAAATGAACTGCCAAACATGGCCAAAACTAGTATGATTGCCTTACCTGTGGACCACATTTCCATTTCTTTACAAGTGACTGAGACACCTAGGTAATATTTTTCTTTTTCATATAAACAGCAACTCCAGCCAGGTTTTATCTCTGCCAAATTGCAGTAAGCAGCCTCCATCTTTCGAAGTATCCATGCCCAACTGGAGAAGCCCTGAGTAACCTGCTCCAGCTGGATATGCTTTTGGCAAGAGGCTGGACTGGATATCCTCAGGGGTTCTTTCCAGCCTCTGTACTTCTGTGCAGCTCTACCAAGATCCATCTGCGTTCTCTCTTTTGTGATTTCAAAGGTTGATTTCTTTAAATTAAAAAAAAAAAAGAAAAAAAAAAGCTTGTTTACAGTCGAAAACCTACATAGGGATTGAATACACTGAAACATGTCATTTTGTGTGGTAATTCATAAGAAAATTTGAACTCTAAAAAATGTCATTGGAAAAGTAGATTAGAATATGTATATCTGAATACCCTTAGCAGAAGGTATTTCCCATCCACACATAATCAAAGTGCAGTGTACTAAGGAAATGGCTTTTTCTAAGTCAAGGTGAAACTTGAGTGGAAATGTATGATGAGAGTGTTTATTCATCTTTCTTTCCCAGAACTGTCAAAATAGTCACCTTTTGTCTTAACGAATACAGCTTTTGCTGCACCATTGCAACTGTTTCTTGTAATTTTATTTTGTTGTTTTTGCTATATAAATTATTCTATTGCACACTCTTTTACTTTACTTTAATAAGCTTTAATCAGTTCCACATTTTCCATTTCATGGCAGTAGCCAGTCTTCCTATCTCAACTTTTAAAATCATGTTTATTGTATTTTCACCCTTGTATCAAACAGCTTGACAAATTATTATTATCGTTCACAAATCTATCCTCATTTCCTGTGGGTTTTTTTCTGCACAGCATGAGATAATAAAATAATATGATTATGTATAGCAAGAATTCAGAGATAAAGTATTCATCATCTGTCCTATTTTTCTTTTGTATCTGGGAGTGCTATTCAGAATCTGATGATCCTGGAATTTATGACTAAGAGAAAAGAAGCTGTTATCTGTAAATTGGGTATCTGCATCTTAGTCTACCAGAGTGAAACATCTAGTGAAATAACTGTTTGTTTTTCATTTCGAAATGCATTTTCAAAAGCTTTGGAAATCCAGGTGGCATGACTTTGTCCCTGATGAGTTTTAATGGCTCTTGCCTCTGCTGCTTGAATGATTTGACAGCTCCAAAGCAGCATCCACATTTCTGTAGTCTCTGGTGCATTGTACTTAACCAAAGCAGATTTCTTTATTCTTGATGCTGCAGGTTTTTATTTTGAGGTGATACATCTGGGTTGATATATATGACCTGCAGACAAAAGGTTCAGTCCTGTAAGTTCTGCAGGAAATGTCTTCAATTAAGGCACACCCATGTACGGTGCTGGAGAACTACGCTAGAGATCACCTGGACAACTCTGCATGCTTGTGTAGGTTTGTGTATAGTAACACCATGTGGATCCTCAGTTGCATGCTGAGTTTGTGCTTGTGGAGGGGAAAAGAGGGAAGGAGTGAATAATAATGAATACAGAAAGATAGGGATGGAAGCTATCACTAGGATCCCAAAAGCTGGAGCTGGAGACAAAATTGTGAACCTCAGTGGTGGATACGGAGCAGCCTGAGAATTCCTTGGCAAAAAGCTGGTCTTGAAGTTATCTCATTAGCATTATTGCATGTTTCTGTCAGCACAGAAAGAAAAAATATAGTGATAGGTGCTGATTTATTCCACAGAAATCTTCATAGTGCTGAGAAATCACCTAAGGACTGGACAATGTGTATAAGAGCACAATACTTAATGCACATGCTCACCTTGTATGCTAGTGTATGCCCACTGACTTCCACACTTACAGGTTCTATCCATCTGCCCATGATTACTTTGATGTAGCAAGTGGGCTTAAGTATCACCCTGTTTTGCTGCTTCCATGTTTTTGTGATATTTAGAGATCTCCAAACAGGATCACTGATGGGGGAATTTCCACATCCATAAAATTCCTGAGCAAACATCCTTTCAAACAACAGTGATGACTTTCAGATGAGATACTTGGAAAGTGACAGGAGTGTTCTTGTAATTTCTGGTGGGTGTTTCCACCATGAGGCTGCCTTCTGCATCTGACAGACTTACTGCAGCCACTGACAGGAACTTAAAAGCCTGAACAGGCAACAAGAGGATGGGCAAGTCCCTTCCTTCCCCTTACCTCTTGGTGCCACCGCATCCTGCACAGATGAGAGGCCAGTGAGCAGAACCATGTAGGACTCTCTTTCATACAACTGCTGTCCCTGTCTGAAAGGTGGACAAAGTCCTTTCGTTTAGCTGATAGAATTTAATTCTGACAAATTTTACAACGTTTTTTCAAAACAAGAGTTTTGGAAAAATAAAGAAAAAGGGTATTTTTTGCTTTCTGAGTAACTGTAAGAAGGTGGA